CATCCACATTATAGACGCTGATACCGTCTCTAGACGTCAATCCTTTGTTTGCTTCCTAATGGTTTTTGTACGAGATATCTTTAAACGTCTATATAGAGTCACGAATAGATAAAAAAACAGATCGTTAACTTGAAATACATATACAAAGACAAAGCATTCATAATAAACAATTTTTTTATTTGTTTAACCATCAACTCAACCAAGCTATTTAGGCAAGATTTGAATGATTTCACTGAAATATGTTATTTCATTCCTATCAAATTCTTGTCCTAAGAAGACTAATAACTAAAAATGTTTCAAATAAAATGTATCCTACCTATTTATGCTTTTTTTTTTTTGTCCCTCGAATTAAATTAAAAAATATATATAACCCATAAACCCTACCCAAGAACTAAAAAATCTGGTTGAATATTTCTTCTAATATTAACCGGAATTCTAAAGAAGATTTGGACCTAAATTCATTAAATTGTGATATAGATAAAGTACTTCGTGTGTGGATCGTCAAAACCAGAGTTAGTACCAATATGGTACAAGTTTTGATGGTTTGTGTGTTTAAGCTTTTTCATCACTCATCATCACCGTCCCGACTTCGACAATCCATTACTCGATCTTGGATGCCTCAAAGAGTTTTCCTCCACGTTTCCATGTCCTGAGCAGCCGTCCACCAGTTCCGAAGATTCTGGCATCAGCACTCATTTCATCTTTCCATCTCAGTTTCAGTCTGCCCACTTTTCTTTGCCTACTCGGCTCCATGCTGAGCAGCTTCTTTGGGATTGAGGTATCGTCCATCTCAGGCCTTGCTATCCGGATATATTTCTCCAGATCCGGCTCCTATCAGTTGGCTAGTTCTTGGTTGCGTCTCATTCTCCATTCATCATTTTCCTTAACTGGACCAAATATCTTACTCTGTCTGGCCTTCGTCAGTGACTATGTTTCACCCCCATATGTCAGAACCTGTCGTGTCAGGATTTTGTACAGAAGTTTAGTAGATCGTAGAAGTGAGTGGCGTTTTGTGTACTTCAGGAGGACGTAATAACATATATTGGCGGCAACAAGTCTTTGCTTCATCTTCTGTTTCTTTTATCCGCAGTCACTACTGATCCTAAATATTTGAACCTTTGCACTTTGTCAAATTTGTACATACCAACTTCGATGGCTGGATCAGTATGACGTCTGTCAGTTGTCATAAACTTGGTCTTTTCTTCGTTTAACTCAAGCCCCATCTTAACTGCAGCTGCCTCCAGCGAGCTGGAAGCGTCCATCATAGCTGTCAAAAAGCTCCCAATAATACATATATCATCGGTGCTAGTGTTTGAGCGCTTTTTGTAAATATAGTGCCTGTTGTTTCTATATCATCATCTCTCACTACGCTTTCTACAGCTAGATTGAAGGAAATGCATGCTAGAGTACTTATTCATCACTTTTAATCATTAATGATAATCAATCATCCGACCGTTCTGCATCACTTAATTTTTATTTGTACCAATCTGTTACATGCAATGAAGTTGTAGAAAGAAAATATTTTTCACATATTTTCCGAATGATTTAATTCAGATTCTGTTGAGCTATTTGTGCAAGGCTTGAGAAGTAAATGAACTTTTGTTTATATATATTTGATAACATTGAGCAACTGAATTATAAATAGTCCGATGAATGCTTCTTTGGACTATAAACAAGAAAATGGTAAATGAAGGGGAAAAGGGGAAAAAAACTAAAAAAAAAAATCATAAAACTTGCTATCTAAAAACGTATAATCATGTTAACCAAAGTACACCATTTTCGTACAATATTCCACATATATGAAATAAAGATATTGGGACAAGAGAAAATCCCAGCATACAATTCCTAATCATTTAAAATATTCTGTAAAAATGTAAGAAGCCTTTAATCAAAACTATAAAAAATACTAATACTTAATTAATCTCACTACAAGAAACTGTAGAAGTTTTCTCAAATTAGAGCATGTAATATATAAAATGGTTTAATAATAAACATGCCATAATCAAATGTGAAGTTAAAACAAGAATTTTAAAAATGAGTACTGCGCAATGTTAAATTCACGAAAGTCATAAATACTCAAGAGTATTTACACAAACAAGCAATGTATACGAAGAGGTTTCTGAAAAACAACAACTTAATCAACCAGCTGAAAGCCTGGTGTAGGAAAATAAATGAATTTCAAACCAGAGTTTAGTAGAGAAAGACTAAGCCGCAAGATATTAAATCTATCATCAGAATATATGAGATAATCTGCAAATAATCATTTAAACTCCTAAAAATGAATGAACCAAAATTTAAAAAAAAAAATGCAGAATTATCAAATCAGTTCATTAACCATCACTTTTATTTATTTTAAAAACCTTTATGAACTAAATTAAAACGATGGAATTCGCTCTTGTCACGTGTGCGAGAAAAATTGTGCCTGCCTAAGATAAACTGTACTAGCAATCACCATTACAGTAGATAACTAAATAACTCAACTCAAGTGTTTAATATATAATTATGTTTCTATGAAAATAGAAAATATAATGCCATTTTAAAAATATTTTCCTACAATGTTCACTATTCTTATTTTCCTTTTATTTTTCAATACGAAATACTGAACGAAAAAAAAAAAAAAGAACTGTTGGGAACATAGGATTCGACTAGTTACATGCTCATATGTCCGTCTAAATTTATTTTAAGATGTGCGAATCAAGTATAACTTTATATATAATGATAAAGATCATAAGCCAATAACCAAAGAATTAAGAGCGACGATCACATTAACTATTACATTTATATTTTTGAAAAAGAAATTTTAAATCTTGGGTTCATTTTCTATCCATAAATAAATAATAATATAAATAACAACTTTTAAATGTTAAAATTGTTATTGATAAAAAGACGAAATTTGATGTGAATGAACCCTATTTCTCGCTATAAACATTGTCGATATAATGACAGAATATTATACTACTAAATAAAATAGTTTTGAAAAAATATCATAAAAGAAAAATATAGGAAAAACATAAAATCAATTTGTATCCGCCAGTTGAATAATATCTCATTCATACGCCCTCAAATAGAAAAAGGTTGGGAACTCCATACACGATGAAAGGAGATAATATAGCAAGTACAAACACAAACAGCAAAATAAAAAATACGAACAGTTTATTTTACATAATGAATTATTAATAGGTTCACAATGACAAACTACTGTACAGGAAACATAAGATACATGAAAACAAGGGTGTTTTGCGTTATGTAACTGAGTGATTGCTATTATTAGAAGAACCAATGCACAACAAAATATATTCATCCAAAGAGGAAATACTGCTTGAACTTTGAATGCAGCACGAAAAGAGAAAACATTCGAATTTCAAATAATTCCTCTAATAACTGCAATATTACAAAATATATAGAATATATAAGGATCGGAATTTCTGTAATTTTATTTTGAAGTATGAACAAAATTTTAAATTACATACTTATAAACACAAGATACGCTATAGTTCGACCGCGTTTACCTCGTTGTCAGCTGAGGGCGGACTAAGTCGAAACTAAGAAATTTTATTTTTTCCTTAACTCTTCGATCTTACTTACACAATATACAACACCTTACTGGTCCGTACACAAAATAGAATATTATTATATCACCTTTGATTACGATATTTGTGAATACTTTATAATTGATACCGAAGGTTTAAGTAAAAACATAATGTGAGTTAGAGTCACATGAGTTTGCCAACTAATTCCGTCGGCCTTAGACATTCGGCGGCCTCGCGTAATGACATCTTTCTCCAATGTATGAATTTTATTTCATTCAACATTTCCCTAATACAGTTGCTTTATTGATTCAACATTTATCTAATACTTTATTGATTGTCTAAAATTAATTATTTTAATACATTTCATATTTTTTAAATTTTTAACAAGTTTCAAGCGCCTCTGAAGACGGAGCCCTGAGGCAATTGCTGTGGTTGCAGCTCCACCCTAAGCCCGGCGCTGGTCGAACTATAGTGAGTTATTGTTTATGCTAAGGTCAATGCTCGAGCATGACAGTGAAACAACCATTCTAGCTTTAAAGTTTTACGGATTCATTCCAACCGCTATAATGATCAACCCTTAAACCACATTCAAACAGGCCTCGAACGAACGTTGAACCCAACAAGAACATTCGAGATAAGGCATGTAATTATGGGTAAGAGGTAAAAACGTTATGACAAGCTATTGAAACACGTTCTGTTCGCCAACAAATCGGCTCAAAACATAGATAACTCCTTTGGGAAGCGCGTCATATTTATTTCCATGAAATTCGCCAAGTTAACATTCCATGGAGGAGAATATTCTACAGCTTACCAATCACAAACTTTAAACCCACATAGCGCTTTATAGCCCAAAGAATTGTATAACTCCCTTCATGGCGATAGAATTAAACAAATAGTTTTGGACCCTACTAATAAATAATGATTTATCCACAATTTTTGTTTTTATTTATGATATCTACAACTGTATTAATATAAATACATCAAGAAAATTTGTATACAGAAACATCATCACGTGAAAACGCTTGCTGAAAAACTACCCACTGGTAGCACTCTAATAATATGTCTACAAAAGGAGATCACGCGGTCATCTTCTTTTCAGACGGCTCAGAGGATTATCAGGAATTGAAGAGGAAGCAAGGTTAGAAACCAGAGGATTCGGATGGTTATGAAGATCCACAAAACGATATAAAAATTATAAATGTGGCTTTTACCTCAGAAAATACAGGTTACTGCTTCACAGCCGCAGAAGAATTGTTGAGGAGTTACGACGTTCAGTAAGTCAATACAGATGCACATCTGACGGTAAGTTAAAAATGCTACGCTAGAACTAACATACAATAATTGATATGTTAATGCGCCGAGTATAATTCAACCAACTTGTAGGTACTCCTGAAGATCATATATTACGAAAATTATTAGAGGAGCAAATTTACACAAGACGGGTAAGCAGACCAAAACTTAGATGGGCAGATGGAATGGATTCAGATGCCCGAGCTATCCTTGGAAGGCGGCTGGGCTGCTCTTCTCAGGGATGACCGGCGGTCAGAGCAGCAGGAGGTCCTCACACTACACGAGTTGCAGCGCCAATGAAGAAGAAGAAGAATTAATTTTAAAAAAATATCCAGAAAGGATATTCACCTTAGCCATTCTTCTTGGGGATGCGAACGGACCCCCACACGATTGGTTAACGAAATTCGACAAACCAAAGTAAACCAATTTCGATTAAGAACTAGGCCGAGCCATCCTGATGGAAATGATGATGTTGATATCACCTTCATGTTCAGACAAGTCACCGTGATTGTAATCATTATCTTCTACCTCCCTATCACTAATGAGTTCCTAAATACCTCATCCAACGTCATGAATAAGAAATAAAACAAAATTCCTCAACACTTCCAAAAATTGTAGTAAAATAGGTTTTTAAAGGATTCAACACCCCTACATATCCTTAAATCCATTTTATTTTGTTCATTTATTTATTACTCTAGTTTGCATTCTACCCATTCGATATTCTACAATTAAGCGAGTGTTTGCAGGAATCGTGATTCTTTCATAAAATGAAGTTGTTTTTATCTTTCAATAATAGAAATTATTAAAATTTATTAATAACTAATTGCGAAAGCTCCAAAAATAGCAATTATAATAGACTCCACACTCATATAAAAGTATGAAACACCATAACAGTATATCTTACATACGATGAACAACATAACTGAGAATGAGATTTTGTTTATTTTTTTTATTAATTAATCATGGCTAGTATTTTAATCTTCAAAAGATTACAAGGATAAGATGACCTCCGAACTTTCAAAAGCAAAGTTCAAAAATGTACGTCAGTAAAGTTTCGAAACAGCCGAACTCACGCTACGGCTTTCAATGAACAAAAATCATAGATTGGAGTTTTTCTATTATATATATTTTTATTCTATAGTCTATTTTCGAGATACATTTTATATTCAGATGAAACAAAATGTTAACATTGAATAAATGGATTATCAATTTTGGGCCTGGATTTTTCGCTTTAAAGGACGTTTTGGTTTGAAGTAGTAAATGCACTATTAATAAATATCAAACTACATTCCTGTCACACAGGAACAAGAAATCATTAACAATTTATTGCCTGGCATTAAGCAAAATAAGTAAAAACGGTTCCCGCAGCATAAATGATCATGCCCAACAACGTTATTCTGATTGGTTTAACAAAATTATTAATTCATCCATCAATAATGATTATATTAATTTAAATTTACATTAAGTATATAGAATTATTATACGATTACTTTGTATTATATTTAGTTTATAATGATAACCTTAGATTGCAATAATAACAACTTTTCACTAAAAAACAAATTTAAATATTAAGTAATTTCATACTTTTTACGTTTAATTAACATTCTTTTTGAAGTGAAAACTTCTTTAGGCGTGGTTTGCACTTTTTTTGGGGGTTAGTAAAAGACACTGGGCCGTGTCACGCTCAGATGCGTTACGCTCATTCTGGTAAAGTCGGCTCTAGTCGACTAATCATGCATTGGATTAAAATTTCTCAAAAACTAAAATTTGGACCTTCATACCGTAGGTGAGGGAAATGTGCAGAATTCCTTCCTCTTTGTAAAATTGCAACTTAACGTGACGCCGCACAGCGGTTCGAGTAAGGGAAAAGTCGCGACATCGGATAATTTAGAAAAGAAAAAAGAAAGAAAAGAAAATTAAACTTTATTCTGGGACTAAGTCCCTTTAGAATAACAATGATGAGTTAATACAAAGTAAAGTACAAATCTGGCCAAAAAACAACTTCTAAAAATTTTAATATTATATACATTATTTAAGAAGTATGTAACCAGTAAATAATAAAAAATAAAATATATATACAAATGAACATAAAATCTTCTCAAAATTACTTAATTGTGATGAAAAAAAAAAGAAGAGAAATTACATATTTATATATACATAACAACACAATTTATAAACAATAGGCTATCTAATAGAAAACTAACTAAATACAAAATGTAATAATATCTACAGTGATTTATATAATAATATGCAGTCACTAAGATAAAATAAAATCTTAGGATTACTTGTGGTGTAATGGAAAAAATAAATAAATAAATAAAAGGAACTATTTATACGTACATTCTCATATTGGGACACAGAAAGACAAAAATATAAAATACAAACATATATACCCGAAAGAAAAAGCACAACCTGAGGCGAAGAGAAAAAATTTCATTTTTTTTTTTTTTATAGAACTTTAATTACATTAATTAAGAAAACTAGATTTCTAAGGAATAAATAAAGTGTTGGAAACCGAATGATAGCTAGAGTTTTGTTGAACATATAGATTAAAATATCTCGAAAACTAAAATTTGGATCTGCGTAATGTAAGCGAGGAAAATTGTCAGCATTTCATTCTTTTGGTAATGGGCTATGATTCAAAATAGTATTTTGAAGTGTCGCCGAGTTTAATAATTATAAACGCAAAAAGATAGCGTCGTGAATCAAATAATAACGACTATTTTTAACATTTGGATTAAAATATCTCAACATTTAAATACCAAGGAGAATTCATAAACCAATTTGCGGTAATTTATACACAACTATGATCGGATTTATTGTAAATGTAATTACTTTGTTAATATAGAACAAAAAATAGTTTATACACAACTATAATTGTATACATTGTAAATTGTATTATTATTTTGTGAATATAGAACAACAAAAAAAAAATGTATATTTCATATTATTAATCTTAATCACCCCTTGTTGATGTTTTCACTTCTAACTAGTGGTTATAGGCATAACCAGGTCTTTTCCAAAATGGCCGACAACGATTCACTCTTCTCGATGTCGCCCCTTCGCATGTCTTATTTCTTCTTCCCTTCTCTTCCTTGGCTGAAATCTGCTCGTGTTGTATCCACATAGAGTTCACTCGGTTACCTTTCTTGTTTTTCAATTAACTTGGGTCCACATTTTGTATAGGTGATGGTATAAATAATGATAATAATAAGTAATAAATAATACTTTTTTTTTTTATTTATTGATGATATTTACAACTGTATTACAAGTAAAAATACATTCAGTAAATGTGAACAAAGGAATAAAATAGCATGAAATCACATGTTGAGAAACTACACATTGGTAGCACTCTAAAAATGTATTTACAAAAGGAGATCACGAGGCCATGTTCTTTTCAGACGCCTCTGAGGGTTGTCAGGGATCGAAGAGGAAGCAAGGTTAGAAACGAGAGGGTTTGGATGGTTCTGAAGTTTGTTATGGAAGGATAGGTATCTGGATTGGGCCAGGTCAGAAACATAAGGAACATTAAGGTCGTTATGGATGATTTTGTTTGTGACAAATTAAGGAGCAGTGAGGATTTTACGAAGGATTTTGGATTGTAAGGATTGAATACGAGAGGAATTCGATGGCTTAGTGGAGCCCCAGAGCTCAACTCCGTAAGTCCAAATAGGTCTTATTGTAGTCATGTATATGAGTCTTATGTAATTGACTGGGAGGTTAGAGCGTTTGTCTAGTAAGTGCTGGAATAGTCGGAAACGTCGAGCTGTTTCTTGTCGTTTCAGTCTGGTATGAGGATTCCAAGTTAGACGTTTGTCTAAGTGGAGTCCAAGGTATCGGATTTGTTCAACAGGGATAAGTGGGGTATTATTAAAGGATACTGTAGGACAAGAGGACATAGGTTTACGAATAAATAATACTAGATATAAACAATGGTAGGTGTCTACAGTCCTTTTAACAGCGTGTTCAAAATTTGTACATTAATTTTATTATTAGAGAATATATTTTGGCTTTTTACATCGACCATCAATTAATTATATTCCCCCCTCCTTATTTTATTGTGTTTTTCGCTTCTCAATAGCCCTTTGTGAGTTAGAAGGTTAAAAAAAAATATTTGAATTGAGATATTGTATAAGTAATTTTGGGGGTCTCGTCGTTTTTCCACCTCTCCCTTCTAGTTCAAATTTTTTTTCATTTTTTTAAAAAGATTTTGTGCGCCTTTACAGCACCTTCTAATTGAGTAAGAAAATTTAAATTGAGTTTGTGTCAGAGATGTACTTTTTTATGATTCTTAACTTCTTTTCTTGCGTTACCGATAAATTAAATTTGGAAACAAATTACATAATTTTCAAAAGCAAAAAAGGAAACTCAGCTGTTCCATTTATTATAAGATTTTTTTTTCTACAGTTAAGCATTAATGAAACAATTACATAATTGTTTTTCCCAAACAAACGTTCATTTAAAAAGAGCTCACGATTTTTTTTTTTAATTTTTAAATAACAATAATAAGTAATACATATATATACTTTAACTTGTCAGATATTTTTTCCTAATATTTTCTTCAATCTTGTATTTTCCAGCTGTTTTTTTTTTTTTTTTTAATTTACGAATAATCAAAAAACAAATTTGTTTATGTGTCCAGCACATCTGTTGATTGTTAATAAATGCAATTAACAGGTGCGAATAGACAAATAAAAGTGAAAAAAAAAATTTATAACTGACTGGTCCACAGACTTTTATATCGGATAAGGAAACAATAAAGAACAGAAGAAACAACGTCTGTTAATTTTTTTTCTTATGTTGAAAATGTCCATAAGAATTTTGTAAAGAGAATTAGAATAAAAAGTAATCTGATTCAATAAACTTGTCAGCATTTCCTGGTTGCTTCTGATATAACAAGCATTACAACGTAGGCAAAAGTGAGAATCCACATAACAGTCATATCCAAACATTTGAAGAAAGAAGTTTTAAATTTACTCAAAACTTATGTGCAATGTAAAATTTAGCCTGTAATAGAATGACGCAAAATTGAATCGTTTTATACTTTTACACATACTATTAGTTTTACATATTTGCCGACACTATATGAATACTTTAGAATAATATTAGAAGGCTAAATTAACCTCAAGTGAGCAACGGACAAATTGGAAAAAAAGGTCACGCAAAAAATTATTTTCAAGCTAGGTCAGGCAAAGCGTACTCAATCGCCAAATTATATGCTACGATAATTATTTCAAACTGCATCACCTGAAAAAAGCAAAACATTGCTTTTGAAATATATACTTCACTCTCGCAAAGCAATGATAATCGATATACAGTAAAAGGAATATGTTAACCATATGTAAGAAACAAACCTTTAAGAAACTGGAGATAAGAAAAAAAAAAAAAAGCAGCAATCTTTAACAGATACATTTGTTTCTGTCAAAATCTTCAATAACCTACATCACAATCTTGTATATATTACTGAAAATACAACAATATAAAATTCTTTCCGGATATCTACATTATGTTTCTCATATTTTATGCAGAAAGAAGAATTAAAAATATGAAGGTAAAATAAATATAGTGAAAGACAAGAAGAATAT